CAGGAGGGGGCCAGCAGTCTGTGAAACACCTGGTCAAAGAGGTAATGACAAAACTCCCCACTCCCCAGCTGCCTCTTGGTCTGAGCTTACTTTGTTTGGGGCAGAGGGAAGATAGACAAGTATCCCATACTAAAATGATGTCTTACATCATGAGTGTTGGTTTTGTTTTGTTGCTTGGACTTTCTTTTTTTATATAGTTCATTTAGACAGCGTAGTAGAACTGATGTAGATAATTTAGTTGATTTTGTAGTATTTGTCACTGGTGGGAGCATGCTAGTACAACATTCTGTATTGCAAGTATATGTTTATTTTTGCTTTAAGCAAAACTTGTAAGCATTCAGCTTTTTAAGACCTTACAGTATAAAGTGATGAAGTAATTAAAAGAGCCAAGATGAAACTGGCTAAACTAGATAAACTATTATTTTTTGGCACTGCTGATCAAAAGGACAGTAATAACTGAAAAAAGAGAGAGGAAGAAAGAGGAATGTTTAGAGATCCATGCTATAAGGTAAGCAGGTCTAAAGGAAAAGGTCATGTTACAATTTCTAGTTTGGGAGTCTAACAGATGATAGGAGGAGGCATTCAAGGGAGAGGATAAACTTAATGCCACCCACATGCTCCTTTTATGGTGACACACAGCTTATAAAACAATGATTTTGGTGCTTCTGTATCAACACTGTGGATAGGTATTTGGCTTGCGCTGTGTTTCAGGTTACTGATAACATCTCCATTTAATTAATGCCTAAATTTAATTAGATTTATAAAAGCATTGGCAGCAAGTTTGGGGAACTAACGTGCTGCTGGGTTGCTAGTGGATTATCAAAATGGTTGACAGCTTTTGCATTTTGTATCTAATTAGTGTTGGGTTTTTGTTTTAAAATTCAATAGATTGATATGTTGCTGAAAGAGTATTTGCTTTCTGGAGATGTATTGGAAGCAGAACGCTGCCTTCAGGAACTGGAAGTACCCCATTTTCACCATGAACTTGTATATGAAGTAAGGAGAAATCACAGTCCCTTTAATAATTGTTGTTGTTTTGATGTGGGCATGCAAATAATATAACTGGCATGTGAAGCTTAGGTTGCTTGTTCTGTTATTTGAATAACTAAATTGTTTCATGTAAAGTTGAAGGTTTGTGTGCTCATTTCTATGTGCATTGTGCAATAAGTAAACTGCTGCTGACTCTGGGAAGATTCCTAAGTAATTTCTGGGGATTAAATAGTTGAATTCAGTTTATTATTAGTTCCTGAAAATAAGATCTCAGTTTATTTTCTGCTGAGGAATAGCAACAAAGAAAAACCTCCCATGCTTTATTTTGGTGTTTATTTCCTTCTAGTTTCAGATATCTGGGTATTCTAATGGGCGTTACCTGTTTTTGTTAAATTATAGAGCTTCCTTTTTCAGGGTGGGATTGTTTCACCCAGCACATTTGTAAAAGCTTACATATTTCAGACCAGCCTATATGGGAGACTGTTCCCATTTGTACTCTTTTATCTGCCAAATTGGGAAATGGTTGTTTACCAATAAAGCTGAACACCCACAATCTACAAAATTTCCTTTTCAGTCAATGGACTTGTTATAGAAAATTCCTTCACAATAGAAATAGAGAATCATTTCAGATGATGGGGGTTGTGCAGTATTGTAGAATCTAAACTTCCGAGTCCTCCTAAAATCACAGATAAGAAACCCCTATGGATACAAAATTAAAACCCCATGGATACAAAATTAATTTCACAAAATTAATTAATTGCCATCTGTATTGCAGCAGCCATATGGATATAGTCATGTAGTGGTGAAACCAGAGAGAGAAAGGCAATGCTTTTCACTATGTCTAGTTCTTTCTGGTTTTGCATACCTTTTATCTTATCCAAAGAATTTTAATTTGTTTTTCTTTTATAACAACAACAATAACAAATACTACTACTACTACTAATAATAATAATAGTAAAAAACCTGAAATTGTGAGTGCATGTAGCAAATGGGCTTTTTCCCCCAGAAAATTCATAACACATTCACTCCTTTCTGTACCTCATATGGTCACACACCTTGTACCTGAGCCAGTGTTTTCATTTTAGTCAAAACTCTTGCATGATTTGTTTTTAGGCCATTGTACTAGTTTTGGAGTCAACTGGAGAAAAGACCTTTAAAATGATACTGGATTTGCTGAAAACTCTGTGGAAGTCTTCTGTCATTACTGTGGATCAAATGAAAAGAGTAAGTGTGGCATCTAGAGAAGTTTGTATAAGGTCTTCCAAAATTTTCAGCTGCCTTTATGCAGTTAAATGGTTAAAACCAATAATCTAAAATGCTGAAATATTGCTTCATCTTTTAAATGTGTCTTTTTATCTGGTAATTATTTGTAACTGAAGTAGTACAATAAAGGCTATCTAATTACAAATGTATAGAGCAGTATAGAAAAATAAGTATTTTGCACAGTTGGAACCATCTGTGACTTTACTTCTCAGGATGAGTATATGACAGCAGCTCTGTCCCAGGACAGACTGGGAACCACACCAACACTTACAGCTGTGTTGTTGGTGGGAAGTCCTGAAGTCATCTCTGGTTGTCCCCAGTCTCCCCTCTGTAGCATAAACTTGTGTTGATCATTTGTGGCCACATTTTGTTCACTTACATGGAAGACATTCATTTTCTTCCCATGTTACTACCCTTGTAGCAACAGGCAGGTTAACATACAGGTTTCATACTGTCTGGATTTCTGACTTCTAAAGAAGTTAAAAGTTCAGGTTGTGTTTTTCTGTAGATAGATATTTGTATAATGCCATGGTATGCGCTGATATTATATACCTTATCTCTCTACTGACTTGTAGCTGCAATGCTTTAGGTTTGTAAAACCATTAAAAAAAATAAATCCTCTGGAATGCAGAAGGGTATTTAAAAACACTGTAATAAAATATTAGAATAACCTGATGAATTATTTGAATCCTTACACTGCAGGGCTATGAACGGGTTTACTGTGAAATCCCAGACATTAACCTCGATGTGCCACACTCCTATTCAGTGCTGGAGCGCTTTGTAGAGGAATGCTTTCAGGCTGGAATCATCTCCAAACCCCTGAGAGACCTCTGCCCTTCAAGGTACTTGTTTCATTGTAGCTAGGCAAAGGCACTGTTTTCATCCTATCACAGGTCACAGAAAGCAGCATCTTGGGACCAAAATTGGAAGTGGAAACTGGAGAATGGACCAACAGTTGGACTGGTAAAATGTGTATTAAGAAGCTGCATTGATGTGAAACCTGTTGAGGCTGGGATAAGGAAAGGCAGCCTCCTGTGAATCCCAGGCAGCACCCCTCAGTGCTCCCCACAGGATAAAGACTGCCTCTCCTCTGGTTTCCTGATTTGCTTGGTAGAAATTGGTGCAGCACCAAGCTGGAAGAGCCTGGTGTCACAATGGTCCGTGTAGGTGACAGTGGAAAACTGTCAGCTATACTGGGGAAACGGAAAAAAAAATCCTTTAAAAATGGTTTAAACTTACCAAAGAGTGCGAGTAGAGTTCTAAGATGAGAGAACCAGTCCTAATATTTATATAAAAAGGAACAGGATAAGTTCTGCACACCCCATTCCTCATATCTGTCCTGTGATTTGTGTAATGCTTTTTTTTTTTTTTTTTTTTTGGTATGGCTTGGTTACTCGTAGCATAAATAATGCTGTGTGAACTGTACCTAATCAGTATGCTGTTACCTCCTTACTGGTCACAAAACAGTTAAGATGTTTCATTTCCTCTGGGGAATATAGGAATATATGTTAATTTTAAAATAGGATGTTAATACTATTATTCACAGTTTTATGCATTTGAAATAGTATTTATTTGACAGGTCTTTCCAATTTTGGGTGTTTTGTTAGAGTTCTTAAATGTGATAAATTTGGATCTTGGAATGTTAGCATCTTTATCAAGAACACCCTCCATTTGTGGACTTTACGCTTAAAACTCTGTGTGTGTGTTGGTATCAAATGTTTTGCAGGTTTGGGTGTGTGGGAGGATAGAGTCATCACTGCATCAAAAGCTTGATTATACTTTGGCTACCAGTTATATGTTGAGAGGCATTTTTGGTTTGTGTACTTCAGTTTCAAGTAGAAACCCCCCACTTCTAGGTTTCCAAAACAGCATTTTTAAGCAGCTGAGCTGACACTGTGATCGCTGCTAACCCTGCTGAACTCACACTTTATTTTTGATTTCCAAGATCCGGGAGAAGATTCTTCTCACTGGTAAAAAACAAGCAGTACTACTCTAAATTACTGAAAAGGGACTTTCTACTTTCTTACAGGGGCAGGAAGCGTTTTGTGAGTGAAGGAGACGGAGGTCGTCTGAAGCTGGAAAGCTACTGAATGTGAGACCTGCCTCCTGAAGCCTTACAAACTGAAAGGGAACATAGCTCGCTGTCGATGTACACAACACGCATGCTCCTCCGGTGTGTGTATGGATACACATCTAGGACAGACCAAATTCAAGAGTTGCTTAGCACAGTTGGTATTTTTTTAAGAGCACATGTTTTGGGTACAAATTGTTTTCTTTTTTTTTTAAATAGTTTTGTAAATTTCAGGAAGAAGTGTTCTTTCTTTGGGCATATGGTAGAACAACTAGCCACTCTGCTGTGGTGGTGCCTTGAAATAAGCTATCTTTGTATGTGCCATGTTTATGACCTAATCATTCCACGTGTGCATCAATGTCTGACTGCTGCTCGCTCTTTCCAGGACAGTGCTGTCATCATAAAATCACTGGTTTATACAAAGCTTTATTATAGAAGGGTCAAGTTAAGCTGCTGTGATCCCATTTCCATTGCTGCTAAAGAAATACTGTGCTTTGGGAGTTAAAAAAATTAGCAGTTTGTTTTAAAGAGCCCAAGAAAATACAGCTGGGTCACAAGACAAATTCATCTGTTTCAGGGGAGAACACCGGTTGGTTTCAGCCCCCATGTACCAAACTTGTCTTTTTTTCTATGTAACTGGAAAAGTGAAAAGTTCTGGTAAAACATATTAAAGATATTTTTTGTGAAGCTCTTGTTTCCTTTTTATTTATTTAAAATAGAATAAATTAAGCAGTAACATCTAATGCTGCCCTTTGGTATTGCAAGCAGGAGGAGAGCACAGAATAATTAAGCTCATGGCAAGTGAGTATTTACGAGATCTGTTTTGGAAAACACAACTGACTTGCGTAGGAGTGTCCAGGCTGGCACAGATACTGTGACTGTGTCTTTGCAGCTTCGTGAAGCCGTTCCTCAAGAACAAGATGGATCTAAGGATGACTCGCTTACAGGAACTCAGTAGAGCCTCTCCTTTGTTTTTCAGTTTCACGTCAAAATTTCAGGTGTTCCGAAATGCTGGGAATAGCCATTCCAGGGCCGGGAACACGCTGTGCTCTAGGAGCCAAGCGCATCAGTGCTCGAGCGGGTCTGGTAAGCCCGGCTTGGAGCAGGGTGGTGTGGAACTCGCCTCCTCCCGCTTTCCGAGGGGTTCTGGTTCTCTAAATTCGCGTTTAAAACAGCGCCAGGGCAGCGACCGGCGCAGCTTCTCCCCCAGCAGCGCCCGACGCGCGGCCTCCCCGCCCGGCCGGCACCACCGCCCGCCTTCGGGCCCCGTTCCGAGCGGTACCTCCGATCGCCCCGGGCACGGCCCTCCCGCTACTGCCGGGCCGGCGCAGCCCCCGCGGGCGGCGGCGGGGCCGCCTCGGGCGGCTGGGCCGCCTCCAGCGCCGCCCTCTGCAGCTTTTCCAGCTTCTCCAGCGACACCGACTTGAGGGGCAGGATCTTGGGCTTGCACAGCACCAGGGCGGCCGTGTCCTCCACCGACAGTTGCCCTGCAGAGGGAGAAAAAGGCCGTGAGCGAGTGGCGGGCCGGGCGGGCAGGGCCGGGCGGTGCTGGCCGCCGGTACCTTGCTTGGGCAGCACCTCCCGGAGCGCTCCCGTCCCCTCCGGCATGGCGGCTGCGGCCCGGCACCGCCCCCGGGCGCAACTACAGCTCCCAGCTGGCACTGCGCGGCGCCGTGCCCACGCACCCCGCTCGTGCCCCCCCGGTGCGTGCTGGGAGCGGTAGGCCTGACGGGGCTCCGGCTGCCTCAATGCGCGCTGGGAGTTGTAGTCCTTGGTGTGGCGCGGCGGGAGCGGCTCCCCCGGGGCTGTCCCGGGATTCCGGGATGCCGCTCCCCGCCTCAGCTGCGCCGGGCTCTGCTCTGAGGCGGAGCCGTCCCACCTGCGCGGGCCTGCCCAGCCCGGCGAGCCGCTGCCTGCCCGCCTGCCAGGGCCCGCCGCGAAACTCAGGCTTTGAGGCGCTTTTATGGTTTATTTTCTGCTTCTGTAAATAAAATCCCCAGCAGACACCGTCCAGCAGACGGGCGTGGCCAGGGCGTACGCGTCCCGGTTTTCGTTTCCAGGCAGCGCCTCGGGATTCGCGCTGTGAATCACGCTGCTGTTTGACATGTAAACAGCAGCAAAAGCCGCTCTTTCTAAACTCTGAGAGCTCAAATGTGGCCGAACCTGATGGGCCAGTGCGCCGGGATCCCCACAGGGTCCGCCTGGTGCAGGATCTTTGCACCGGGAGCGGCTTCCCTGGGAAACCCCCGCGGGGAGCCGCGTGTGACCCGGGAGGGGCGAGAGGGATTCACCTGCCCTGTGCTGGGCCATGCCCCAGCAAGCCCCGATTCCGGGATGTGGTGCAATTTTAGAGTTTGCTAATGAGCTTGCCTGTGTGCCCTGCACACCCTGTGTGCCTGGGGGTTGGCAGCTAGGGCTGGTAATCCTGCTAACCTGGCCTTGGCAGGCGGGGACGCTCCTTTCAGTGTTCTGGGATTGAGATCTGCCTTCTTGCTATGCACAGGGATTACCGTGGATTACTAAAATGAGGGGGGAAATGATCTTTGCTAATATTTGTTTTCCATTCTGCCTTGGTGATGGCTGGCTGCGTGCTTCCTTCCCTCTGCTAACTCAGGTGGGACCTGTCAGCTGTGGGATCCAAGGTTTGCTGGGAGAGTAGTGCTAAAACTTTTAACTTCCAGTAAGCAGCACTCCTCTGACAGTTATTTAAAGCCTCTGTCTGCATTGTTCCAGAACTATTTCCTTTTTCCTCTAAGCAACCTAGAGTAGGAAGCTGACAATCCCTCAGGTAGCCCAGTTCCACCTCGCTGGAAGCCTGGGTTGGAGGCCAGCAGAACCCACAGAGGTGAGAGCAGGGCTCCTCCTCCCTGCCTGTTGTGGAGCTGCCAAAGGTAACTCCTGGGCTGCTCCTGGGCAGCACAGAAAATGGCCCTTTTTGGCCTTCCTCACATATTTCACTTTCAGGTCAGAATATCAGTGTTGGCGAGGCTGTAAAATGGATGTACTCGCTGGGGACATCCTTCTCTACCCTTTGAAGTGCTCAGAAGCATTCCCACCAATTTCAGTGAGAAAAGTTCCTTTTTCTGATGTGCTTTTCCACGTGCCAATCAGTATTTTGTGCTGACTGGAGGGTAAAGGACAAGGCACTGCTTTATAATGGATGTTTTTACACCAGGGCATTTTAAACATGCAATTTGCAGATCAGTGATTCGTAGTTGTTTGTCAGTTTGTTCAGTTTGTTTGTAAGAACCGATCCAGCATCTTAGATATGGCCAAGGCTAAAAATGAATATAAAAGATACCCAGTTATGACTGAAAATTCTGCACTATGAAAGCAGGAGGTACTCCTGTGGTAACAAATACGGCCTACAGAGCAACAGAAATGAGCTGAAAGCAAGATGTTGAAATCAAATTGTAGGCCAGGTTTTTCGCCAGTGTCCTCCACAGTGCCAATGGCCCCCTGGAGTCCAGCACTATGTGAACACTTGCATTTGGAGCCCATCTCAGTTGTGCAGGGAATCACTTTCCAAAAGCAGTTTTCCTGCCAACAGGGTTTGTTTGCTTGGTGATAAGAAACAATGGTCAGCTCAGTTTATTGCTTGAGCATTTTAGTGACTGAGAAGTCTGGCATCCTGTACTAGATCCATTTTCTTAGCTACTCAAATGCCAGCTTGGCAGCCTATCTAGGAAGCTGATAGCACTGGGACAGGCGTGATTGTGGAGGTTGTTTTCAACAGTTTCTAGTAAGTCTGTTTTTAATATACCTCCTTCCTTTTTTTCCTTTCCTGGGAAAAAAACTAATAGTTACCACCTTCATGACTGGGAAGTCTGGATGATGAGCAAGAGCAGGGAGGCATGGGCATGCAGCTTAATATCCTACTTTTCAAAGTGCCTTAAAAAAAGGACTGGGTTTAGTTTTGAGTGAGGCTGGTATTTATTCATAGTTATACCCTATTTTTTGACCTTTTTGGCCTTTGGGGTTGACATGTGCTCAAGCACCCATTTATTTCTCTCATGGGCCTTTCCAGTTGCCAGGGATAGCTAGGAAGCTTTTGCCAAAACCCTTCCCTCTGGGAAAAGCACCGTGCACTTGCAGTGGGACTGTGCTGAGTCAGTGCATTGTCCTGGTGTCATTCCACAGGGCTGAAGAGGTCAGAACAAGACTGTCCTTGTGCCCAGGTCTCAAGTTGTGTCCCCATGGCATGAAGCTTCCCAGAGTCCTGAGACTCGACCTCGGGATGAAACCCAGTGTTATTTGAGAAAGCCTAGGTGTGGTATCCATGGAGAGGACAACGTGCTCTAGGTTGCACATCCTTATTTTACTGATGTACAAGCAAGTAATTCTTGTGCACTGCAGAGAGCCTCACAGCCACAAAACCAGCAATAATTTTATAAATGATAAGCTTGTTTTCCTCCTCCTGTTCCCAGATACTCTGAGTGCAGAAGGCAGCAGAGATGTGCATTGCTGGAATCCAGAGGGTTTCGTAATTTGGCAGCCACTTGCTGAAAGCCCTGCAGATACAAAACAACACTTATTTCAAGTCTTGAGAAACATCTCCTACTAAGTAGAAGAAAAAAGCATTTAGGTGAAGCAATGTTGCCAGTCCCATTTGTTTATGAGGCTTGGGTTTTGTCTTTATACATTTTAAATGCTTTTTATTTTCCTTCTGCTCTTTAAGTCTTTCAAGTTCATGTTTTCCATATGACAAGAAAGTCTGGAATCAAGTCCTTACTTTTAAAAGCAAAAATATGGTTCAGAGTCCTGTATAATCATGCAGCTCCAGACATGGAGTGTTTAAAAATAAAGCCACTTTGATGAGAACTACCCATCTTGAAGGTGACTTTCTGTTCTAAGTAAATACTTTGTTGACAGTTTAAGAAGCTCTTAACAGCAGCTGATCTGTGTTTGCTTTCCACGTGGATCTCTCACTTTTTTCTCCTTTTTTAAAATTCTAGAGCTTTTTTCACCTCTCTGTGTGCTGATGAGATCAGAAATGTAGTGTGGCAGCCTTTGGTGAACAATGCATCCCTGTGCTTTCAGAAATACACCCGCAGATTTCATGCCATGGTCCCTGAAGCTGCTGAGTGGTACCATGGGACACAGAGCCCAGCTTCAGAGCGAGGAGGAGGAGGAGGAAGGTGGTTTGGGTTTACTGGGTGGGGTGAGGCAAGGGACAGAAAGCCTGGCATGGCTCCCTGCGGGAATCCCAAATGCCTTCAGAACCTGAAGCTTGATCACTTGGTGTTTAACCCAGTCCTTGGTTTTGAAAGGAAGTTGACAGACAATTTGTTTTTAGTTGAGCTTTCTGAGTATACTTTAAGTTTGTTGTTAGTTTGATGCAGTTTGATACAGATGCTCAAGCTGTATGCAAAAGGCAAGGAGACGTGCCTGAAAATGCATTATCCAAGGGACACAGAAACAGCTTTCTGACAGGCTGCTCTTCCTGCTAACACCTGGTAATGCAGAGACCTGGCTCCATGTAAGTCCCAGTCTGGGCTCCTAAGCCAAATGCTCCACACTGGCATTTCTAGGAGGTTGCTGCTCTACTTGTGTGGTTTGAATCGCTTCAGTCTTTGGCCCCGTGCCCTGGAGTGCCAGCAGAGGCTTGCTGTAATTGCCCGTAAGTGCACCGTCTGTCAGATTATTGTTTAATTATTCCAGCTTCTCACCGCCACACACTGCTCAGTGTCTCTCTTGCTATCTTTATTTAATTGAGTGGAAGAAATTCGAGACTTTTGCTTCTCTTACATCACTTTGTTTTTACCCGTCCTCGCTGCATCCTACCATGAAGTCCCTGCTTTTGTTTGCAGAGTCAGTCTTCTATATAGAAAAAATCTACTGTCAATATCTCAAACATATGTTAGAAAGAGAATCAATATTTTAACACATGGTAAAGTCAAACCATAAATCTCTCAACACAGTGAAATGATTGTATTATTCTCCCTTGAAACACTGCTCCTCCCCCTGAGAAACAAGAGAGGGAAAGAAAACTCTTGGATAACCAAGCCCTTGTCCTCACAATGCAGGACTGTTCTTAGCCCTTTGCTCTGTGTCGCTCCTTCCTCTTCAAGATCCATCATTCCCCAGCCCATCCCTGTTCAACTGTTCCAGAGTATTACTGGGATATCAGCTCTTTTCCCAAGATCAGCTTGTGATGACCAGTTCCACTGCCTACCTGCTGCCATTTCAAACATCTCTGTGCTTCCTCCCACCCTTGCAACCAGGTTCTTACTAATGTGTGTTGAAAAATAATCTTTCTGAGCTCTCTCTGACATGCTCGTCTGTATGGCCTATAAAAAAACCTGGCAGCACTCTGACTGCTTTTCTTCTCTCATGCCCCTTGTGCCTGTGACAAATATGTGTCCTTTTTCAGGTCTTACACTTGGCTTCCAGCCTCTGAATCCAAACACTCTTCTGGTACAGGCCCCACACAAAGATCAAGGCTCTCAATAATAATAAATGTTAGGGTTGCCAGCACTCACTCTGCTCTAGTTTTCATGGCTCTGGGCAGAAGGAGTTTCACTATGTCCTTTTGGAAGATCTATCTGCACTGGAATGATTTAGTTTTCAGGGTTTCATTTAGAAATCCTCAGCTGAAACCTCCCTTTACAGGTGTAGTCCCTGTAATGCTTGGCTCTCTGACCAATTTTTGGGATTGTTCTTTTCATTTCCTGTAACTGAACTGTAGGATTACTTTTTTCATACTATTTTCTGATTTTATTTTTCATCAATCTCTTTTTTTTTCAGGAAGGAGCAATTTATGCAAGAATTTCAGTGTGGAATTGACTTTTGGCTTTATTGCTGTTTGTCACCCTTCAGGAAATACATCCCTGGCTCCAGCACTCAATCCCTTCTGGTACTCTGAAGAGGAAGAGAAAATAGCAGAGCTGCAGCTATTAAGAACAGGCAAATATTTTATACAAACTCAACTTCTTCTTCTTGGATCACTCTTAAGAATATTTTTCTGATTGTGAGGATGTGAAGGAGG